AAGAGAACAACTCTCCATCAATGTTGAAAATGAGAGTTTTCAGAAATACACCTATTTGATTTCTAATGGAGGTTAAGAGGAAAACAGTGATGCCACTCTCAAATCTTTATGTTAAGCATAGTTTATGCTGACGGCAGCAGCCAACTCTAAACTATCATATCACACAGACTGCAAAGACGGTCTAAATAAAAAAGTTAACCTGGCTTTGTGGAAATGTAGTCTACTAGCACATCTAAAACTCACTTATTAATATCTTTAATTATTAATCTCCACAAAAACAAAAAGTGTAAAAAGAAAACTGTGACCCCTTCCATACTCTGTGCGAGGCGACCCTGACGCTAGCTTACAGCCTAACTGAGATTCTAGATGCTATCTATCTAAAATGTTATTTGACATACAGAAAACTAGTGTAGTTGAATTCGAACAGTGCCGACACAAAGTATCTACCTTTGACAGCAAAGTGTCCCGAATAGATTTGTCCACTATCATCATGTAATGTGATCTCTCTATGGTCCAATTCATGGAACTTAACGAATGAAGAATTTGAAATTGTTTGCTGAAAGACAAACTAATTGATCAAGTCCTTGACAGAGCAAATAAGTTGCAAGTCTAAAGGCCATTAGGAAAAATAAACTGACGGGCTTGTCGGGCTTGTCCAGAATCAGTAGATCTGGTCCCCATTGGCCTGACCAGGGCAGCAGGGTCATTCATTCCTCAGTGTGTGTGCAACAAAATCAAAATTTCTTACGCCTCATCTGCTAGAACATCCCCTTCCACACACCGTCTATTTTGGGCTTATTTGGCAGATATTTTTTTCATCAGGGTGATGACAGGGCAGCGCTTGGTGGCATGCTTTCACGTCTTTCTATCCTCCTGGAGGTCTCTGGGTAAACTTTGGGCAGGAATGTGAGGAAATCGTGGGGGACATCTGTGCACTTGGACACGTGAATTGGAGCAGTGATCGGGAGATAATTTCTTGTGATGGCTGCGGTTGGAGTTGATGCAAAGCGGCGTTTGGGACTGAAGGACGGAGTGATGTTCCAATAAACTGTAGGACAGGAATGAGGATTATCACAACACACAGCAGAACCTTCTCCTTGAGTTAGTGAGCCCTACATCAGTGCTCCTGAGGAATTTTGTAAAGGGGTAACAAGTGTTACTTAAAAGGACAATAGTAATGTGCTGATCTGTTGCAGGAATAATGTTGATCCTGTTCACACAAAGTACTACTGAGGCTGATGGGAACTTCATTATATTTGCAGGTATTTGGCCATACACCAATGTATTAACCAACAATCTGACTTGGCCTATGAGGGCCAAGACCCAGAAAAATCCAGTATTTCACCATTCTTCTGTGGTAAAACTACAAAACCTCTATTCATACAGCATATTTAAAATAACATTTGAAATATTAGGAAATGTATCAACTTGGTTACTTCCACAACATCATTACAGGTTGGATAATGCAATACTGTCTGAGAGCATTGCTCAAGAATGCTGATTTAAATGGAAATACCACTTCTCACTCTTCCATGTTTCCACATCTGCCATGGAGTCCCTCTGAAGGGCATGTGTTTCCATCACTCTGCGGAGCTGTGGCAAACTATAGTCGCTCTCTATTGCGTAATTTTTCGCCGCGCACTTAAGCAATTTAGGAAGTGTAAAAGCTCTGCCACATTTTTCAGAGGCGACCCTGACATATTACATCACGTCGGCTCACAGGATTCTTCACAGAGTCCTTGGGGTCCGATAACAAGACAACAGATGGAACGTAGATCATGTTGGCTAGGTTTTTTTTTAAGAAATCAAAAGTTTTAATTGCCCACTACTTACAGGAAATAGCCCTTTCTTTTCTCCACTCTAATTGTATTGACAATGCTTTGAATTCCTTTTGTTGGATTTTGAGTGGAAGAAGATTTGATGCCTTAAGTATAACTTTGCTTTTTTGCTTTTATCTCCTTTATGTCTAACTTTAAATGTAATATTTGGGGTACTTGGGGCATTTTGTCAGACAATCCTAAGATATCACCCTGGGCTCTCTGAAATTTACATGAACACGTCACCTTTTTCTTGCCTTATATTAAACCAAACAATTATTTGAAAGGAAAAGGCTAGTCAAGAGAAAATGACTAATAGAAAACAATCATTAGTTGCAGTAGCTGTAATTAGCTGAAAGTAATACTGTATAATTGTGTAGTCATATTGCTAATGGAAAAATACTTTGTTCTTTGGAAAAGGAGAAGTTGGTGTATTATTTGAGACCATCATCGAAATAGTTATCAGACGTACTTTCAGTGCTAATTAATTGCAAGCAGAGAATGTCAGTATTCAATGGTCATAGATGAAACTGAGCTCCTCTGTATGAGAAGGTTGTTGTGTTTCTATATTTTCCTTGATAAATTCCGAAGTAATAACATTTAGTAATGAAAAGTTTCCCCACTCACTAAACTGCAACTGACTCAAATGACAAACCATGTTGACAGGAGCAGTTTGAAGTGCTGTGGGATAGTGTTGTGAATTTGTCACTAGTCTGAGGAAAATGACAGCACATATTAAACAAATCATCCATAAATTCTGCTATTCATATATTTTCAGCTGCTCTGTCATATCAGTGCTTTGCAATATGATAATTTCAAGTTAATATTGGGGTTTAAATTAATCTTTTTATGACCATAAAATACATTAATTTCTTACAGTCATTGCACTCACTTTACCCCAACTAGTTGTAAGTTCATCTTCATGACAATTATTGTAAAAACTCTTCCCAGACATTTTAACATTGGACACACTTAAAACCGAATCAAGAATAAAAGTCAAACTTGAACATCGCTTGTTAGCGATCCTATAATAGGGAAAAAATACCTCAAAATGGAAGAGCTGCTTAACATCACAGACGGCTTTAAAGTCCCCGTGGGAACACTTTGGAGGAATATTCATGATATTATAATGATTTTTCCTCGGGGTTAAGAGCACTTTCAATTCTTAAGGCACGGGGGGACAGAGGGAAACAGCAGAATCACTTTTACAGATGCGTCTTGAACGCCTACTTACAGCGCCTCGGTGCTCGCTGGGAACCTGGGGAGAATATCAATGTCAACGCAGGAGATGGTGCGCGTCCCCCACTCGGAGCAGTCGCACTCTGCGGGGCAGGAGTCAGCAGCCTCCATCACGGTGCTCCCACACACAGCAGCCCCACACAGCAGCGTCAACACGGAGCATGTCACCACCTGCAGCCGGTCACACAGCATGTCTGTGTCGGTGTCCTGCAGGATGACCGCTGCCTGTCCTCCACCTGGAAGTCCCCCACAGAACAAATGGTGTGCAGCGGACTGTGGCGTGTGTTGCTGCTGCTGCAGGCTGAAGTAATCCTCAGATAAAGCTGTGGGGAGAAGTGCAGTTTTGCGTTCCAGGGCCACAGCAGCTTGTGTGAGGTGGAGAAGGTGGAGATGCTGCAGCTCAGTGCTGGGTTTGGAGGTGGTCTCCCAGCATGAGGGGTGGGAGGACTTCTGAGGCACTCTTGTGTTGGACTTGAGAAGTAATGTTTCTGGTAGCTGTGTCAATGCTATTTTGTAAAACAATAATTATGATACAACTGGGACCATTTTAATGCAACAAATATCAAGACAATCAAGTTAATCTTCAAGTTATATATTTTTCTTTAATTATTCTTA